AGTGTTAGCGTTGCAACCATGACATGTGCCTTCTGGTCCTCCTGACAGGTGGGTCTGTAGGTGAATAATTTAGCTTGTGAACCGCTTGTCAACTTAAGACAGCATCTTAAGCTATAACAGCCCCTGTTTACACAGTTATGTTTTTAATGTAGCATCAGAGGCTGAAGGTTTTTGAATTCATCCTTAACAAAGGCTTATATTATTATTGTGCTAAAATAACTGTGTTATGTGCTCATGTGTATGTTGACCAAACATGTTAGAAGCCCATCAGTGACATCTCTCCGACAGGATGTGAATATGTTACTGAGATATCTGATGTTAGACCTTTTTAATGATGTCTTGGTTTGCCAACATCAGGCTACAAGTTAAATGAGATTTTGTGTAATGGTAAACATTCTCTCTGGAAGAACATTAGAACAATTTATTTAAATTAGTGTGAAGGTTTGGTGCTACAGAGGAAGATCTCTAGAGTCTGGCCAATATATTGTTCAGCGGATATTGGCCTTTGTGTATATATCAGTATTGTATCAGTATTGATTTATAAGTCATCAGATATATACCGATATGAAAACTGTTTTCTTTCAGGTACTGCAAAAATGCTTGTAGTTTTTAGCTATTTTTTGGGGGGGATTTATTCTTTATATTCTCAGACTTCTGAGTACCTTTGCCGAGTCATTATAGTGCAAACTATTTTCATTCCAGCTCATAAAATCTGTGAATTTTTACCCTCTAAAATCAGTATCAGTACCTGTCTCAAAAAAACAGTCGGGCTCTCGACAGTCACTCCTGCTGGGGTTAACTAGCTATGAAAGAAATCTTAGTGATGTAAACACAACCTAGTAATACTGTAGTGATACTATGTTGGAGTTTGTAAATGGAGGTAATGTCTGTGCCCTTTGCAGTTTAGAGACTACAAGGTTAAAGTTAATCTTGATGGACTTCTTTCAGGATGATGCCCACAGAAGTACTGTGTGAATTTGAGAGCATTACAATTTTACCAAAACAAAATTACATAACTCCATACTAAAGACCAGGATAAGGCATTAAAAGACTAATTTAAATATGAATACTAATAACAACAATACATATCTGTTTAGCATAATAATATCAGAGAGTAGCTGTTCACCATACAGTAGATTATTAAAAGTGATGAAAAAGTTTCCCTGGCTTGGTGGATGAAGTGGCTTTGCTGAACAATTGTTGCAAAAAAAAAAAAAAAAAAAACAGTAAACCCCTGCTGCTTGTTTTCTTGCTGCATAGCTTGCGTCATTGCTCGTGCACCAAGAAACTAGACTTGTGATAGATCTCTGGTCTCACACAATGACCACAAGTAGGTTGGTTGCACCAGACCACTTGAAGCTATACTCTATAGACTATAGAATCGTCATGGGTGCAATTTGTTCTGCACAAGCTCAAGAACAAAATGTGTACAGACTCTGTTCCTGTTGTTCCTTTCCAAATGACACATAATGATTATTTGGTAGCAACAAAAACATTATGTTTTTCATACAGATTTTTAAAAGTGATTTTCAGCTGCAAAGTCCTTCTATTTAAAGTGATAAAGCCTGTTCAGGTAGTCACTGAAGTTGTCGTCTTTTGTGATGTAAATGTTTATTTGCTTCCTGGTTATTAGGAGCTCCAGCTTTGTTTGCCTAAAAATGCCAAATTTTCACTTTCTTATGGTAGACTTGCTCCAAATTGACTTATCAATGAAGTCCTTTACAAAATCGCTTAATAACAAACCAGCATGTTACAAAGGCTCAATTAGAATAGAAGGAAAACAAAAGGCTTCCACCTTTTTTAATTGAGGCCAGTGCAATGTTTGTGTGCTTTTGTAATCATGGATTTTTAGCCACATTAGCAGCATGGCTTTTTCTCTGTGGTCTGCTCCACTTTATGCACAGTGAAATATTTCGAGTACTGGATGGATTGCCATTAAAATCTTGTACAGATGATGTATCCTAATGACTTAAGTGATCCCTGAAATTTCCTCAAATCCCGTCAAAATAACTCAAATACTTTAGTTTATGTCCAAATACATGGAAAAAATGGACTTTGTGTTTAGTGCAAATTAGTAAATGTTTGCTAACACACCAAATAAATGTTCTACTTTATCGATCTCCTTTATTATCTTTTGTAAAAAAAAAAGTCTATCCAGAGTATTCCATGAATAAGATACAAATACATGAACCAGGCAGATGGCCCACAAACTGGTTAACATGTGATGATCAGTTGTACTACTGAATGCATATACTGTAGATTATAAATGTGGGTGCTGTACTAAATTTAAATGCATTTCTTGTGCAATAATTATGTGCTCCAGGCCTACAAATTCTGATGCATAATGCAGAAAGCCTTTCATTATTATTAGTGAAAATCCTTATTTTTGCTAACAAAATGGCTTTGAGGAAGAAAAATCTGTACCAACGTGTTTCACAAATTCATATCAGAATTGCATTATTAAATCCAGATGTGGTTTCTTGATCATTTACAGCTCTAAACCACAGACAGCTTTCAGTCTTCAACATTCCCACATGTGCTCAAACCTATCAGGTTTGTCTGAAATCTAGCAGTATTTCCCTCAAATTGTGCTCTCATCCAGTGGTCAGTTGTCAGGTGCAAAACACCTTCTTGGTTTGACTGTGTTGGTACTGAACCTCTCCTCTCTCCATTCCCTAACTGCCAAGTATAGTTTTCCCAAGTATAGTTCTTTCCCCAAGCATGGTGTCTCTGCTGCTCTCCACTCTCTCATACCTGCCCTACTTTCACACCGCTCACACAATTTACAAGTTTCACACTCCTTCCCTCTTTCTTTCTCTCTCTCTCTCTCTCTCTCTCTGTCTCTTTCACACACACACCAGAAGCCTCAGTTTTACCTCAAACCAGAAATATACATGCACACATTGAGTTCATGTACATATTAAAAGCTTCAAAAGATTACTGTTTTTTTTCTACTATGCATGTAGCTTTTTGTGACTTGTACCAGCATTATTACAGTACAGCACACTAGTGGTGCAGTAGTACAAGACAGTACATTACAGTACAATAAAAAGAGCTTTAGCCACACACTGACGGAGCTCTGTTGTTTCCTTCTATAAATAAATATGAAGTCACACAAATGCCAACATGCATGAGTAATTCTTTTTCTGGCTTATGTTCTCTGACAACCTGGGGGCACACAAACCTTTTAAAATATCAATCAGTCCTAACCTGAAAGGCAAAACTGGTTTTAACATGTAGATCCGCTGTCCTCAGTCGATGGAAAACAGACCCTTCAGCTTGGCAGCTCGTGGTGTCCTGGGATGTCTCAGGGAGCTGTTGTGTGTTGTATTCAGTCTAAAGGTGTGCCAAAGTGTGTTTGTGGCTAACCTATGGACCACCGGGGTGCAATTAGATACTTGAGGGTGACTAAATATGCATTCCGGTGTGTTTCTGTGTGTGCCAGAAGGCTTAGTGGATCCTGAAATGGGTTTTGGTGAAGGTGCCCTGAGATGTTCTGGTGTGTCTGCATGCTTAAAGAGCTCATGGGATTCTTTAGTGTGATCCAGAACAAAAGGTTTAATACAAATTCCCCCTTTTTTCCATTTGAGATCCAAATGGCTAGATGGTTCTTTAGTCTGGAAATAGCTCAAAACCAGAGCAACTGTAACTACATGGTTTGTCAGAAGCAATTTCCATCAAATTTGGGGTAAAATCCTCATAATTACACATAAAGTGTTAATTTAAGTTGATCGTATCTGATTTGTCCAATGTTTTTCATGCCGCTCCTGCTGGTTCATTTAGCAATACTGGCTAAACATTGTTGTTTCAGTGGTGATTACATAAAACCATTCACTGCAGTGTGGTTTCATGTGGTCGTTGAACTACTTTTAATGTAAAACAAAAAATAAAATGTGAGCATCACGTTAAAATGTAATGGTGGACATCAGTGTGAAAGCTCACTGAAGAGACTGTGGCCTGTTACAGCGACAGGAAGAGAGGGAATCAGCAAGAGAGAAAGAGGAGTGAAAAATTAAAAAAAAAACAGAGAAGGGGCAAGAGGAGAGAGTGCAAAACAGAGACAAAGTGACAGAGTGAAAGTGTGTGTGTGTGTGTGTGTGTGTGTGTGTGTAGAGAGAGAGAGAGAGAGAGAGAGAGAGAGAGAGAGAGAGAGAGAGAGAGAGAGAGGGAGAGCCAGGCCTAGTTTTTAGTTTGTGATCTAGGCCATTATCTGTGTTAGCACTGGTGGGGCTCCAACAGGCTCTGTGGATCCTGCATAACAATACCTTTTATGAGCTTGTATGTGTGTGTGTAGCACTGTAGGTTCACACACACATACTGTATGCAATCATGCGTGTTAACGCCATTGTGCCATACATGATCTACGCATGCGCCCCTTCGCCTCTGCCTTTTGTTTCTTGCCACTGAGTTTGTTCCCGTTTGTTAAGACCGCTCGTGTGTGTATGTGTCTGCATTGGGTCGAGTGTGTCTTCGTATGTGTGTATGTGACTCCTCACGTGCAGCTGTGCGCTCTTGCTGTATCACCCCCGTCGTCAGTCAACCCCCCTCTCCAGTAGCGCCCTGGGGGCCTTCATTATGTAAGAAAGACATTACTGCAGAACAGAGGCAGAGAGACATTACTGCAGAACAGAGGCAGGCAGCCCTGATAACTCTGGCAGCCCCAGCTTCAGTACAATCCACCTAGGCCTACATAACACATGCACACACACACGCACACACATACAGTCAAAGCCTGCAGCAGGGGTGTGATCAGGATAATGGTGAGGACTGTGGGCTTCTGATGTTTGTGAGCAAATTCGTTGATGAAAACAGGAAATATCAATAAATCATGTTCTGCATTATAATAAATATTCTTTTCTTCTGCATCAACTTTTCTCATCCATCCATTATGTAACTCACCTCCATCCATTCACACATTCAATCTGTCCTCCATCATTGACTCTCCTCTGTCTCCGTCTCTCTCTACACCTTCTTCACACTTCCATCTCCTCCCTGTCCAGCGGTCCCCTTCCCCCTGGCCCACCGGCTTACCATGAAGGAGGTGTTTGACGCCGAAGGCCGGCCGCGGGTGGACCTACTCAAAGCTCACCTCACCAAGGAGGGCCGGCTGGAGGAGGCCGTGGCCCTGCGCATCATCGATGAGGGTGCCGCCATCCTGCGCCAGGAGCGCACTATGTTGGATATAGAGGCGCCAGTCACGGGTATGATATAGTGATGAAGAATGGAGGAGTGTGAATTAGTCTGTAATTCAGTGAAGAATTACAGTACTGTTAGTAGAAAAAAGAAAAAAGTAGGAAAGCTAAACCTAATATAAGTTAAAGGAAATATGTGTATTTGCTTTGTTGCGAAGCTTTAGAGGAGAAGATTGATACTACTCTGGTGTCTGTATGGTAAATATGACTGCAACCAGTGACCACTTAGCTTATTTTAGCATAAAGAATGGAAACGGGGAAACAGCTAGCTCACTAACTAATGTTTATATCTTCTTTGTTCAATTTATGCAAAAAAACTAAATGTAAAAACAGAATTTTGCTGTTTTGGGGCTATGTGCTGGACTATGTATCGGCCAGAAGCGGTACATTTCTGGAGTCTCTGCTAGTTGCCTGGCAACTACTCCTGGCCAAGAAACAGTCCGGTACCTAGCCCCCGTAAAATGGCTAATTGCCGTTTTTTACACTTCAGTTTTTGTACAGATTAAACAAACCAATTAGCATTACTGGTTCTGGTACGCAGACTTTGTTAGACACAACCAGGCTAGCTGTTTCACAGTGTTTCCAGTCTTTATGCTAAGCTAAATAACCAGCTGCTGGCTCTAGCTTCATATTCACCATACAGATAGGAGAGCGGAGTCAATCTTCCCATTTACCCATCAGCAAGAAAGTGAAAGAGCATTTTTTTCTAAATGTAAAGCTATTCCCATTGGGACCGTTGGCACTAAAAAAAAAAAGCTACGAGTGTGTTAATGTGTGTGCAGGAGTGACAAGCAAATAGATCACACACTTTCAACAGTGAGGACACAGATAGCAACAGTCAAACAGAGAGATAGGGAGACAAAGGAATGGAGGTGTGGAGTAAAAGGCAGAAAGATCAGTAATTATGTATTAATCAGATTCCATTCGTCGATTCATTAATCTGCCATATGTATCTGCCACCCTTTTAATATGAACGGTTGTTCGGTCGCACTTCACTGAGAGAACCAATTGGCACTTATGCACCTCACAATAGCGGGTGCTAGCTTTGGTAATATCTGCATGTATTGCCTTGCCAGGGATATGGTATGAAGGGGGAGGAGGGGGAGATTGAGATCGATGAAGAACAAAATGGAAAACAAGTTTCTGAGACGATGACACAGAAGACAGACAAGCAGACAAGCAGGCAGGCAGACTCAGACACTCTCAACCTATTGACACTGCTTGGTTAATGTACCTGTGTATCTATTGTGTGTGTGTGTGTGTGTGTGTGTGTGTGTGTGTGTGTGTGTGTGTGTGTGTGTGTGCGCTTATGCAAATGTGAGCAGTGAGATAATTCTGTGTGGGTTGTTGTGCCCACGCAGTGTGGGAACATCGCTTGGCTTTCACAGGTACAGATCCCCGGGGACGAGGACAGATAGACAGGCAGATGGAGAGACAGTCGATCATAAGCAGCTTAGTGCAGAGGTTCTCAAACCCGCTCATTCCCAATGAGAAACATATTGATCCACGTTTCCAAGTTTCTCCGCTTCTGCAGATTTTGACCTAGAAACACCCACCTGAGTTAGCTATGATTAGAAATAGCATTTGGATTTCAGAGTTAAATCTACAGAAAAAATAGTGCATGTTCTTGTAGGGAGGGCTTTAAGAAAATGTAATGTCGAGCAGATATTCAGAAGAGTTTAGCACTTTGATGGAGTCTCTCTGGAAATGCTCAAAGATAGACCGACTAGTGACCAGACAGGCAGGTGGATGGCTGAAATTTGAACTGACAGGCTTTTAGGGTGTCACATGAAGACTTCTGGGAAAGTACGGAGGCAGGTCTGAGTAGGCAGACAGATACAGCTCAATTTCACTCATACCATTTTGCTTTCCCAATTCCCAGTTCAAATTAAAACGAATGTTTTGGAGAAGACACAAAAAAAGACATTAACATGGCAAGCAGATGGAGAGACAGACAGACGTAGACGGCCAGGCAGATGCAAAATGGCCATCGTAAAATGGCTGCAGAGGGGAACTATGACATCAACTAAAAGTGAAAGGAGAGGCCAGACAGATGGTGAGGGAGGCGGACTGGAGGATGTATGCTGGCAGATCATACAGACAGACAGTCTTTCAAAAAATGAAGTGTTCAGCATGTGATGCCTGGTCTAAATTAGATCCAATACTCCTGGATGTGACTTGGAACAAATCTGTTGGAAACACAGCCATTGAAATGTTTATAGAATCAGACCGTATGAATGTCTCGATCAGGAAAGCTTGATGTCAAAAGTCTGATTGCTGTAGATGTAAAGTTAGTCACAAAGGTAAGTTTTGTGCATCATGATTTAGAGCACAACAGTAAGTAATAGTATATATTAGGGTTACAATTAGCTGTCAAAAAAGTACTTTCTTGTACTTGATGATTGTGAAAAATCGAGAGCCCTGAGGCCAAGGTGACATATTCAAATAGCTTATTTTTAAGAAATTCAGTATAATATCATATGAGTAAAAGAAAGTCAGCAAATTGACACATGAGAAGCTGGAACCAGCAAATGTCTTTTCTGTTTTGCTTGAAAATTGACAAAGATAATATCAATAATAAAATACGGTATTCAGCTTATCAGTGTTTCAGGTCTAAACATATCAATATATATAGACACTAAATGTGAGAGGGCCTACCACACAGCCCACATTTTTAGATTAATTGCAGCTGTTTTGCAACACAGTAATCCAGTAGCGACCTAATTTATTAATATAATATTTCAATATCGATCTACCTCCCTACTATGTGCTACAATTCCAAGTGGATCTTTGATTGTCAGGTTTTGCTCAAGGTAACTATGGTGCAACTGATTTTAGCGTCTGATTTAGTAACAAGTTAACTAGCAGTTAATAAGCCTCTAGTGTCGACTTTAATTTTTATTTCGTTTTCCTTTATTAATGATTTTGGTCAGACATTTACATTGAAATAATTGTTCCATTTTTACAGTTACATTAATGATGTATAATATGTCTTCTTTCAGAGTCTTTTTCTTGTTTAGTTTTTTTAAACTACTGACAGACAACAAACAAATCGGCAGTCCAGCAACAAAATTCAAATCCAGCCACACAATGAACACAAATTAGAGGACAATTAAAAAAAACTAAACACTAGGACGTCTACATAACACAATCATCACGTATCTGGTCCACATACACATTATTTCGTCACTTTCGTCAAGCTTTTATATCCGACAACTGGGCCTGGAATAGTTCATTATATAGATCTTCTATCCATGCTTTAAATGTGTAAAAGGTTTCCAGCGGCGTAGAGTTATCCTACTCCCTGTTATCGAAGCTAATGGAATGATTTCTGTCGTTTTGACATTTTAACATTGCCTGTTAGTAATCCCAAGAGACATAATGTTGGATTTATCATCAAGTATATTCCAAACATCTCATTCAAGAAATAATTAATTTCATCCCACATGCTGTCTGTTTTGTCAGATTCGTGTAACATATGCACCGGGGTTCCCACCTTTCTATTACTAGTGTGTTTCTATCCTGACAGATAGTATTTAAATAGAGACTTCAAAATGATCGCAATAGATTCTTTCATGAGGATTTTTGTATCACTTGTTTCCTGTTTGTTTTGTTTTTTTCATTAGGCAGATGAGTGATGTTTCTAGATCAGCAGACAGGACAGATATACCTCTGCAGATGCAAATCAGGCCATATGGAGCTACTGAAGCAAAGATGGTCCCAGATTTCTTAACTGAATTGTGGAAGCTTAACATGTGGCAGCTGAAAACTGTTATCTCTATAAGGCTAACATTGCTGTGTGCTGTCTTCCACAGTGTGTGGAGATATTCATGGCCAGTTCTTCGACCTGATGAAATTGTTTGAAGTGGGAGGTTCTCCTGCCAACACGCGCTACCTCTTCCTGGGGGACTATGTGGACAGGGGCTACTTCAGTATCGAGGTGAGAAAGAACACTTTATCACATAGTTTAATGTGTCATATCAATATGTCTACATGTTACTGGGTGTGTATTCACTCAGAAATCTTCACTGTATTGTGTATAATCATATAAGCTTACGACTAAATCAATTACTTTTATTGTGTATATTGCCCTGAAACATATTTACACTTTCAAAGAGCAAGGTTTATTTTACTACTGAAGTATACAGTTACAACACTGTGTTGTATTTAATGTATTATAAATGTACAAAAGGTACTTGAGATTAGCACAGACACACCACAATGTGTGTCTGAGAATATACACATACTGTACCAAGGTTAGGTAATTTAAAATTCATGGATGATTCAAGGTCAGTAATCACAAAGAAGAGTAAGCTATAATATGCCGCTTCCTGAAATATGTATGGAAAGTGAGTGGAGATAGTATATCCAGATGGCTGTTTTGACGTCTGACTCTTTAAAACAGACCTGAGTGCAATAAAGTATTTTTGTGATTACTTTGTCTTGGCACAAATGCATCACAGACCAGGAGTGTGACTTGAATCCATAATGGTACAGGGACATTGAAAGTGAATGTCTTAGCTTGCTGAGCCACTTACCGAGCATGGCGTAAGGGATATATCATTGGCATGGAGTGAGTTTGGAGGGGACGGAGCAATATTTAGGCCACCTTGCTAACACACTTCAAGGGCACATAGACAGGGGAGTTAATGTAGAGCAGGGATGATACTGTGTAAAGGTTAGAAATCACCCTCTGATCCATTTGTAGAGTTAAAGCGACAACATACGTGTTGGAGGCTTTTTATATTGTAAAATATGTCAGACAGCTGTTTTTTTTCAATACATTTTCTTCCTGTTAACTCAACCAGCACAATCTTATTTAGGATAATTCTTGTCAAAATCCCGTTTTTTTTTTTTTTTTTTTTTAATCTTCAAACCGGGGTATGGATCAATTTGCTTTCAGTGCAATTAATTTGGGCAGTGGATTCCTAGTAACGGCTCCATCATGACTCTTTGTGTCTCACTTTGAATTTCCAGTTTGAATTTAATGAGGGGAACTGAAAGTAAAATGACTTCAGCTCTGCCTCATAATTACTTACTAGCAATAATGTGCAAAGCAAACGTTGTTTTCATTGCAGTGTGTGGTTTAAAGCAATAGTTCGACTTTTTGGGAAGTCCACTTATTTGCTTTCTTTTCGAGAGTCAGAGAAGAAAAATGATATCACACTCATGTTAAATATGAAAGTGGTTTTTCAGCCAGGAGTGTGGACTTGGATCACACATTTAATGACTCGACTTGATTAAATCAAAAATGTCTTGCAACTCAGCATGGACTTTAACACCAATGACTCATAACTTCAGTTGGACTTGAGGCTTTTGACTTGAAAAATTATGATATCTTTCCCCAAACTAAAAGATTAAAAGGTATGTTGTTTAAAAAGTGTGCCATTTCCTAAAACTACTAATGTCAGCAATATTCCCATCAGGTCCACACCTAATTCCCCAGATCCACTTTATCTGAACTGAGCATTTAGTGACCACTTGTCGGAAAAAAAGATCTGTTATTAAAATGGCATTCAATTTGGTGAAGAGCGCATTATGACTTGTTTAGGACTCGAAACTCAAAGTTTATGGGATTTGAGTGCAAAGAGACTTACTTGTGACTCTCAAAACACTGACTTGTTCCCACGTCTGGCTGCAGCACCTTTAAACACATTATCGTTTAATCCATGCAAAAATGGAAGCTTAAAATGACAAATTGGGATTTGCTATTTGCTTAGCTACGCATAAAGACTGGAGGCAGGTGGAAACAGCTAGCCTGACTCTGTCCAGATTAAAAAGAACTACATCTACTGTGCTGGTATTACTCTCTTTTCAGTCTGACCATATAACAAAATCCATATATTTTTAGAATAGTACCATATACAGTAAATATGTCATTGTTACTATATAGTATTACGCTGCAACTACTTATCATATTGCATTATAAATGTACCCAAACCTGAAGCTGCTTTCTCTAACCAGTTTTTATCCTTTCTATTCCCTGGTGAACCTTTAGTGTGTGTTATACCTGTGGTCACTGAAAATCCTCTACCCAAAGACGCTCTTTCTTCTACGGGGAAACCATGAATGTAGACATCTGACAGAATATTTCACCTTCAAACAAGAATGTGAGTAGCTCTTGTGATTCCTCCAAATATGATCTGCTCCTTTTCTCTCTCTATCTTTGTGTCAGTGTCTCTTTCACCCTTCACATTTCTGTTGCTCTTCCCTCATCCCATCCGACTCCTTCAAATTATATCAAGAACCCTGAAACCCCAGTAAAGGGATCTTATACCTACATCATATGGCCTAATGCTACATGATGTTAGACTGAAGCTACTTGATAATATACAAATGATAAGGGAATAAGTTCAAGCTAACATAACTTTGTTTAGCTGCTTAACTTACATGAATGGAAAAGCAAGACAGATTTATGCTTGAATGAAAAGTATGTTTCACTTTCCATTTTACAAGAGAAAAAGCTTTTATGATGAGGACTTACTGATGTGTTTGGCAGTTACAATGCGCAGACAACGAAGTTTAGGTTGGGGTTGCTTGAGTGTTAAAGGAGTTAAACTTACCCAATTCCAGTTGAGCAGGACAGAACGACCATAATGTTAAAGTTAGCCACATATAACCTAATAGCAGACAGGACAAGCTTTCAGACCAAGGCCCCAGGAAGAGCACCAGGGTTTGAAACTGTGTAACGACTGCAGTGCCCTTGTGTGATTCACAGGGGCCCCAAAGGTTACATTGTGACAGGATAGATGTAAAACAGTGGATGCATTTTTTTAAGTGTCACCATCCAAAATGACTTGTTTCACTATCAGAATTTGATCCATTTAGTCCAGCAACATTTGAAAAGTCAGGGCCAGAGTCAAAGAAGAGCCACACGATTAAGTAATGTTATCCACATTCAGGTTAGCGGAGGGCTGACTAGCCGGAATTTAGCAGCTTGGCCAGCGCAAGTCTCCTGTGCGCTTGCTAATTGGCCCCACAATGCACAAGCTCTGGGTAATTTTATACCCAAAATTGAACACCTTTGGCTTAATACACCACTAAGCAGTTTTCATAGCACCGCCTCCAACCCTGTATCCAGTTCTCCCTGTTTAATACAGTGGAGAAAGACTACTCAGTGGATGTGCTAGTTGTGAACAGAGCTTTTTTAAACGTAACCTGTAACTTCTCTTTGTCCTTGAAAGCAACTCTCGGTAACTACTGTACTACATACCTTAGAGCAGAAAAATACACATTCCTTATACTTTTGCTCTTGTATTTTTGGTTTTTGTAAGGCCAAAATAATTACACCACCCTCCAAACACTGTCACTCTTACTATTGCCCCATGCGCAGCGCGTCAACGTGTGCAGAAATTCAAAGCTCAGCAGGTCCGCCATGCCGAGTTACAGTTAGGATCAGACAATATGCTGCTCGAGGAAGGAGGTTTAGCGAACAGTTGCTTGTTACAGATTAATTTTTTCTTTTTCAACTGATGATTTCAGCTATAAAGTTATGTATTTTCTGCCAGATGTCTTCCTCCCCCTCAAGGTTCCTCCCCCCTCTATCCCTCCAGGTTGCATCCTCCCTCCTTCACCGTGCTCCACTCCATCCCTCCTCTGCTCCTTCTCCTTATTTCCTTTTTCTCTCCCTCTATCCTCCATCTTTTCTTCCCTCCCCCAGTCTCTCTCTGTCTCTCTCTGACTCTCCTCGCGTCCTGTCCGAGAGTGGGTGATTAGCAGCAAATTAATTTGGCCCTTAATGATTGGCTCAGGGACCTACTCCTCAGCGTCTGATTGGCCAAGGGACAAGGAAGCTAATTTCCCCTGATGCTCGTGGCGAATAGTGGTCGCCCTCAATTACCATCTGCTGTATGTGTGCGTATGTATGTGTGTGTATGTGTGTACCACAAGTGTGTGCAAGTGTATGTACTATGACTGTATGCGTGTGCAAGAGGGCCTTCATAAATGTTTAAGAGTCTGTGTGTGGAAGGAGCTGAAAACTGGTGGACTAGCAATAATGAGCTCTTGCTCTACACAAGGCAGATGGAGAGGTTGACAAACACACTCCTGTCACACACACATGCGAACACATACACACACAAATGTTGGCTACTGTGCACTAGTACTCCACAATACTGGCTTTGATTTGTGTACGTGACGTTCTCATGTCCTCACGCTCTACCTTCTCCTTCCCATCTCTCTTTCCTCGTCATCTCCTCTCCTTCCTCTCTTCCTCTTGCCGCTCTTAACCTCTCCTCCTTCTCCTGTCTCCTCCCATCAATCTCTCTCCTCTCTTTATGAAATTGTCATTCTCCTTTTCTCTCCTCCCTGCTCGCTCTCGCTCCAAAAATCCACCCTTCTCTCTTCTTTCTTCCTCTTCTATCTCTCTCCTCCGATCTCCTTTCAGCTATTTTAATCCTGTGATATTGTTTTGTGTCAGATGTATTGTTACGCCCATGTGTGAAATGTACTTTAAAGATGCTGCGTGTTGGATGTCTTTATTGATATCGCTGCCAAATCAAAGAGTTTTTCATGAAGCAAAAATTCAGCCTCACAGTGAAGCCTCCACGCTGCTTCATGCTATTATTTGGGTCAGATTTTGTTCACTGGACTTGTGCTTTACACTGAAATTTTAAGCCTTTTTTCACCAATGTGTGTATTTAACGTACATTTCTTCTTCTTCTCGGAAGTGGCATTTCAAAATCATCAGAGATGAGAGAAACAGGTCATATGGGAGCGCTGGAGAAGAGATGGCCACATAAATTAATAACATGTTATGTGAAAATTCTACATGTTACTGCCTTTACACCACAAGTGAACTAAATTATGTTTTTAAAGGAACCGTACAAGTCTGTTTGAAGCCTTTAGATAACCGAGTTCTTAAGATCCGTCCATGTAAAAGCTCCGTGTTTGTTTGTTCTCTGCGTTCCTTGTTGCAGTGTGTTTGTGTGCGATATGTAACACTCCAAGTGACAGGGACTGACTGTACGTTTTGTGGGGATGGTGGTTGTTCAAAGCATGTCAAAACACACTCAGGCGCTTCTTTGTCTCAAGTCTTGAAATATCTCTCCACCCCTCCAACCACCTCCAGG